GGCTGCACCTCTGAATTCTCAGTGTTTTCTCTCCCTATTTCCTCTCTTTCCTGGGGTAAGAACTTGTAAAGTCAATGGAGTTTACAGTTTACTCTGGTGTAAGATAAATCAGAATGTCACCATTGATTGAAATGGGAATTGCATGCATACAGTGACAGAATTTTATTTTAAGAAGAGGGGAAACAAAAATTACCTTGATCGGGTTTAAAACATTTAAAATGAGAAATCTGAAGTAGCTGGATATACGAATGAAAAACATGTTACAAAGAAAAAGAAGTTAGAGGAAAATATGGGCAAAACTTCTCCTGCATACACCTTTGCTGTATTTGATTTAATGTTGTTGGGCCACATTATACGTTAACTCTTAAGCACAGTTAATGAGGAAATGAAGAATTTTGCTTAAATATGATAGCATTGTCTTGCCTGTGGTATGGAAAAAAGATGCTGGTAACAAAATTAAAAAACATGTGCTGTTTCTGTACTGTGAAATTATCATTGTTTTTTCCCTTGCAGGCTGGGTCCAGTCTGTGGGCTTCAGGGATTCTTAAAGCTTGTTGATATTCTTGCTGCATTCTCATCTCTTCAGCATTTAGAGTGAGTAATACTTTTCCCATCAGTCCATGAATAGTGGTGGGTGAAACTCAACAATAAACAGCCTCCAAGCAAACAGGGGAGTGTTTTTTTCTGCTTTAAAAGAGGTAACCCTTACAAACTATTTGTTTGAATAGAGTAGCAGACTAGAAGTTAAGGCCTTAAACAGATCTGCTGTGTCTTTGGACAGATCCCATAACCTTTCTGATAAAGTAGACGTAATCTACTTAGCTTGCTTGGTGGTTGTGACCTGTAATTAATTACCACACGTACACTGAATGAGATCCTTGATTGAAAATGCTATATAAATTGTTAATTAATAGGAATTTGAGTGTTGTATAATGAATTCTTGTCAGATACATATCTACTATATATTTTGTGCAAAATAAAGTCATACTTTGTGATTACCTACTGATGCCAAATTCTGCATAAACAATTCTGCCGCTCATATTAGCTGAATTTACTCTTCGCTACACAGGTGCAACCCCACTGATTTAATTGGAATTGTCTGTGATTATCATTTCCACAAGCAATGTTCTCAGATCTAGCCCAGAATGATTTTCCTCAAACTCTCAAAGAAAGTCAGAGCCAGAGCTGGAATTAGAACTAGAGCTGGGCAGAACATGCCATTCTTTTGCAATGTAAACACTTTGTGAAATTTCATTTATTTTCCCAGAATTTTGTTATTGAAGAAAACAAAACAAAACAAATCGTCAAAATATCCTGTTTCAACATTTTTAACATTGTCAGAATTTTTTTTTCAAATATTTTTATTTTAATTGTATTTTGTAACAACATAATTTACTCAACAAAAGTCTAAATTTAAACACATGAATTTTGTCAAAATCCAACTTTTCAACTGACCAAAATGTTTTTCTGTATTTTCTTAAAGAGAACTTTCAAATTCTTGGTTTTTTTTTTTTGATGATTTGGAACAAAGACAAATTTTGAAAGACAAGTATTTTGCTGAACAGAAGTTTATCTTCTAAACTGCTCTAGTTTGTATAGATTACACTTACAGAAAAGTTCAAGAAATTAAATATATGTAATAGAAGTTTTATTAATGTGCTTTCAAAAGGGAAGTAAAAGAACAGTTTTATTTTTTTGTAGGATTTCAATTTCAAATATTATTCATTTTATTGAAAAATTACCATACATAGTGCATTTGAATCAGAAACTTGCAAAGCTTCCATAACTAATTTAAATTATTTTGTGATTTGCAACAATAAAAATTTTCTTGATACTAAAATGACAGTTGAATAGGTGACTCGATTTAATTTTGATAGCAAATATTTTTATGAACTCTAATCATAATAGTCATGACTTTTTTCCAATGAAAATCAAAAATAATTATTTAAACCTTTCACCCAGCATATCCTGGTGTAAAAAGTAATGTATTCAGCTAATTTAAGTGGCAGGATTGTTTTTGCATAGTTTGGTATCTGTAGGTAATCGTGAAGTATTACTTTATTTTGTACAAACAAATCCAAACTCTTCAAAATATATAATAGATAACATATTAATATATATTTTTAAATAGAGAAAAAAATCACTTCCATCTAATTTGGTGCCCCTTAAAGCTTGCTGCCCTAGATAACCACCTCGTTTGCCACATGTTCTGGGCAGCCCTGCTCTGAACTGTCCAGTGATTTTTATGGGGCATTCCATGAGTTGATGGATGTCAACATAATAGACCACAGTACCCTGCTTTACTGGCTCAGCTGACCCATTATGTGTCCGTTCCTGCCTTAGCAGTGGCTATTGTCTGATTCTTCAGGGAAAGGCCAGCACAACTCAAAATGGGCCTCAGTGTGGTCTGTAGGATTAGGAGGAGGTATGGCCTCAAATCCAGACTTCTAAATTAAAATCCTTTCCATCAAAGGGAACTGTAGTGAAAAGATATTTGGTTTTCCTTTGTAATCCAGGAGGGGAAACAGTGGAGATGATTGTGACAGCACAGATTTTTTTCAGTATGTGAAAGAGGAAATACAGCTGAGATGAAAACTATTTCATAACTGTTTTAACAACATTTACTTTGTAATGTAAGTAGGGCTTTGCAATAAGAGGGGCTTATTAGAAAGGCTTGAATATGCAAGATTGCTCTTACCCAGGGTTTAAATTCTTAGGGTATGTCTACACTACCACCCTAGTTCGAACTAGGATGATTAGGCAACCGGAGTTGCAAATGAAGCCCAGGATTTGAATTTCCCGGGCTTCATTTGCATAAAGCCGGGCGCCACCATTTTTAAATGTCCGCTAGTGCGGACTCCGTGCTGCATGGCTACACGCGGCACGGACTAGGTAGTTCGGACTAGGCTTCCTAGTCCGAACTACTGTTACTCCTCGTGAAACTGAATTTAAGTTCTGTGCTTACTTGATCACCTCGGTCCATTTTAAAGAAGTAGCGTTTCAAATTTCTGAGCAGATATCTGCAAGCTTGTCTCCACTATATTGGGGATTGATGCTGCAGTGATCAATCCACCAGCTGATGATTTATCATGTCTGCTTAGGCATGATAAATCAATTTCCAAATGCTCTTCCATCAATGCCAGTATTTCACCAGGACAAGAAGAGTAGCTGGCATTGACAGGAGGGGAACCTCTGCTGATCTTACCACACACAAGACACCATGATAAGATGTCAACTTCAATTATGCCATCTGCATAACTGAAGTGATGTAGATTAGATCCACAGCGGACGGTTGGAATAGACAAGGCCTTGGATGACTAATGAATGGAAAATAGTTAAAAGGACACCTAGTAATTTCTTGCTTTGTGGTCCTGCAGCCTGGATGCTCTGAGTGAAAATGAAATCGGAGATGAGGGAGCAAAACGTCTCTGTGAAGTATTTTCTAAGCTGACATCACTGGAAACATTGAAGTAAGTCACAAGGGTAACAATGTCAACCTCTGACAGCCAGGAAGGAGAAGGTTAATCCTTCAGAGTTGGAATTATGCATTGAAGCTACCTGATGCCGCTTCAAGGGGTGTGTCTAGACTGCAGGCTTCTTTCGAAAACGAGGTTTACCGCCATCGAAAGAAAAGCCGCGTTCTTTCGAAATAATTTCGAAAGAACGCGGCTTGAGTCTGGACGCAGGGGAAGTTCTTTCGAAAAAAGGCTACTTTTTTCGAAAGAACCCCTGAGTGTGGACACAGCCAAGGAAAGCAGTTAATTGTTCCCAAGTTTACCTTATTCATTCTTTTACAAGAACTACAGAGAATTATATAAAAGGCACAGTAAATATTGAGAGAAATTTTTTAGTTTCCAATTGTCTGCCATTCCTCCAAATGTGAAATAGCCATTGGCATCATGGTGACTTGGAGCATGGATGGATGGCCTAATTAGCAAAATACTTATTTTATTTGTTTAGATACATTAGACACTGAAAATCAATGGGAGAAGATTTCAGGCTTTTGTTTTTCAAATAGAGTTAAATTCTCTGTCTTCTTTCAAATATATTGGTTACAGGCCTTAGTTTTACAGAACTGCTTCACATTTACCCAATCTTCTCTGAGATAATCTGGAAGGACAGCATCATTTTAAATAATTCTGGGATGGGAAAATTTCAGAGTGGTGATGGTCACTTTATCATGTTGCATCTTAGTGTCAAATTTGTAGAGCAACAGGGAAAAAAATTACCCAACATGATAAACTGGTTTATTTAAACTCTGTTAACAAGGACATCTTATTTGTAATAGCTTATCACAGAACAAGATAACAGATCTGGGTGCAGAACAACTAGCTACTGCTCTTCCCTCCTTAGCTTCATTAAAGACACTTAGGTGAGTGTTTCATTTCTATTCTATTGCTTTGTATAAAGTGTCACCGAGCCTTAGTTCAGAAGATAATACCTATACTTGGAATTAATAATGCCCACATACTGCAATGTGTTCACTATGGGCCTTGGTAATTCAGGAGTTACATATTCATATAGTTAGTTCCACTGAAAATATCTCCTTTGAGTAAGGGCCCCAGGATTGAGGCCTTCTGTTTTGATAGTTCTTATACACCAACAGCATTGGATCTTATTTATTTGTGAAAAGATAAATCTGATGTGGAGATACAAGTCCATAACTTAACAGTGTGTACAAAGAGGTATTCTGCCTTTAAGCCATACACAGAGCTCCTACTGGCCAACAGTTCCACATATAGAGCTGCTGTCCATGGCCCTGATCCTGTGAGAAGCTTTGCAAGGGTCTACTTGTGCTGAACTCATGGCAACATCAAGGTCTATATCACTAAACTATACCCAACTGGCTAGGACTTGACTTGGGGTATGTGAAACCAATGTTTCATCTGACATGGGACAGAATTAAATGCCTCAGAAAATACAAGAAAACCGACAGTTCAATTACGGAATAACGTGTTTCTAAGGGAAGCTTCTTCCTAGCCCTTGTACCATGAAGCATAAAGATTTAACCTCAGCAAAGTTTTAAATCACATTTAATAGAGCCAAATATGTTCTCATTAGCTGTCTAGTCCACTAATCCTATTTTTATTTGTTTGTGTAATGTGAACAGGGGGCTAAACATGATTCTCAATAGGACTGTTATTTAAAATTGCTTGAAACAATAATTTTCAGATAAGAAATAATCATACCCTAATACAGAATCATAGAATCATAGGGTTGGAAGAGATCTCAGGCAATCAAGTCCAACCCCCTGCTAAAAGCAGGACCAATCCCAACTAAATCATCCCAGGGCTTTGTCAATCCTGGATGTAAAAACTTCTCCCTAGGTATGGGGAGATTCCACCAACTCCCTAGGGGTATGTCTACACTACAAAGTTAATTCGAACTAACAGACGTTAGTTCGAATTAACTTTCATAGGCGCTACACTAGCACTCCGCTAGTTCGAACTTAATTCGAACTAGCAGAGCGCTTAGTTCGAACTAGGTAAACCTCATTTTACGAGGACTAAGCCTAGTTCGAACTTACTAGTTCGAATTAAGGGCTGTGTAGCCCCTTAATTCAAACTAGTGGGAGGCTAGCCCTCCCCAGCTTTCCCTGGTGGCCACTCTGGGCACCACCAGGGAAACTCATATGCCCCCTCCCGGCCCCAGAGCCCTTAAAGGGGCACGGGCTGGCTACGGTGCCCGTGCCAGGTGCAAGCCTGCCAGCACCCAGCC